TTTCAGTTCGTACGAGCTGTTCAACTCTTCATAGGGCTTCATATTGCTCAGATATCCCAACATGCTCGCTACCATTTAGGTGTCACATTACTAACTTGGAAAAGTTTGTGACTGTGGTGAATTGTTCCGAACCGACATCTTCTGAGTCAACCAACCCGTCCATTCTTTTAAGATCCGTTAGCTCTTACCATGTGGTAGCATAAAATTGTTGAAAGGCATACCAGCTCTGACAAATTGGATAGACCATACCTCATTCACACTGTACTACGATTCTGTATGGTAGTCAGATGCTATGCGCATCCCAAAACTGGATTGATGAATATCAGAACCTTCTTATTAGCTTCAAATGCCCTACTACACCCGCTTAGTACTGGGAAAATGCTCTTCTGCAGAATTTCTCAGATAATGGTTAGCTTTTTTGTAGGTGACCAATTTCTTACCTCGTGAAGGCTCAAACGTGAGTATTAGGAGTTACTACGTTTGAAACCTAATGTTTACTCACCAGTAATCAATTTTCCTTATAATTTATGCAGCTCATGTTGGTATATCATGAACACATGAATAAAGTAGCAAAAAGTAAAAAAATAAATAAATTTGGATTGACAACAGTGACTAATTTTCCGATTCTTTCATCAGTCAGACTGTTGAACCATATTTTCTACAACCAGCGAATGTGCAGATTGACTAAGTAAGCGCTATACCGACTTGGAGGAGAGTTCTCTGGATACGCCGCGCAGTCATCTTTCAATCAGGATCCTAGTGGCGTTGTTTATCCTCATATAACCTGTACAATGACCTTCAGTGGTCAGCCCACGCGCGAGTCAGTGTTTTTATCCTCCCAGACGAGTCTAATACCTACTCACCGGTCTCGGCGGGGGATGGAATAATCGGTCTACCTGAGCGCCGATTCGAGGTTCGATCCTCGGGCCATGTCGGTGTTATGCGTAGTGAGAACCACCAGCCAGCATACCACCACAAAGTTTAAAATGTGGAAGGGAAACGCATGACTTGTTTTAGAGAATAAAAGTTGTTCTATTCATATTTCTTTGTGTCATTCGTACGCTACTTCAGATTCCAAGCGCATGAGAACTCAAACAGATTATGACGAAAATGGAAGATAATATGGGAAATAGTGCGATGAAGGCGAAGGAACTGCGTGGACCGGTGTTTCCGAAGTGAAAAAAGACTTTGAAAGTCGTTAAAAAGGGGGCTAGACGAGAACGAGACCAGAGGAGTGAACAAGAGTGAGGCATTTGGACGGGCTACGCACTATGCGTCATTGCGTACTTGTGAGTCCTGGTGCAAATAACTGACTACGATAAGCAAAAATTCGTTCACTTATAAGCATAAGTAAGCAAAAAAAANTAAAAAAGGGATCGCGGCAGCAAAAAGAATAACAGAGGAAAAAAGAACCGGAGAAAAACATCGCCTCGTCACTCGGCGATCAGCTGATTGTGTGCGGGTCCTAGAACGAATAATAACAATCTGTATTGCTTCGACACTCGTCTGGAATGACATCGATCAAGAGGCGGGAAAGCGACTCAAGACAGCAGCAGGGCTTCCTTTATGCCCTAACCGTCGAGATTGTGGGAGCGAGAGGGTCCCTTCTACCACGCAAGGGGGCCAATGGGTACTCTTAAGAGAAGAACTCAGTAACCACCACTTTTATCGTGAACCGTGCCTTTTAACACCGCCGAGCTTCGGGAGAAGCTGGATACATTGCACACATTTCGGCCACTTCGCAGTTGTTGCAATTACTTGCAGGAGATAAAGTTGCTTGGAATGTTTTTGTCCATGTCGCACGGTTTCTGAGAAGGATTAGAGTAACGGGTTTGGATTGGATTCGAACGTGCAGGATAACATACGGTTGATTACGGTCGTAGAAAAATTCGATTTTGGTTTTAGATGTGAATGTAAGGATTCTGAATGATATGGTGATTACGTTTAGATTAGATGTACAGATTAGGATACAGTAAGACAATGTAATGGGTAAATTGCTTCTGAATCCGGTCGTGCAGCTTAGGATACGGTAGGAATGCACTGGGGTGTGTAGTATAGCGTTGAAACAGGCTGGATCGTTAATTCCCCTAACTTCCTAATTCACTGTTCGAGAACGTTTTTGAAGATGATTGTCGATTACGAGTCCAAACACAATTGCCGACTTTGGATTCTACCTCCTAACTTGACTTTTCCACCTTCGAATTTTCTTATTTTTGAATTCTCTACTCACTCTTATGTTTCTAAATACCGGTGTTAATTTTCATAGTTGGCATATTTCACATGAAAGTACGCCTTCTAGCTAAGAAGCGTGGAATAGTATTTGTAATTGCCTTTTGCATTTTTTTTTACTATACTGTAAGTAACTATCAACCTACCTAACTAGAGGTCCGGCTGAGAACAAGTCGGAGCCACTAGTATTGTGAAAGATGTTTTTACTTTAACATTACTTGCTACCTGAACCCCCTCCCCCCTTCCCCCACTCCTTATTTCCAAAAACTAGAATCAGTTCTTCTAATTCCCCGACTTTTGTTGGTCGGTCAAGTGTCGGGTTACCAACAAAGTAAGATACAAAAAGTGATCCCATTTGTGTTGCAAACACTGATGCATTTTGGTCATGCTAGCTAATAGCAAGGTCTGAACACAGATTCGAATCTTCTTTGTCGGGCCGCTATCCTTATAAAATCAAATGATCCAACCGTACCCAAATTTTCAAATGCCTCCTAAACGCTTACAAAATGTTTTGGGCTCTTTGTTGATGACCTACAAGCTTTCATAGACTTTAGGATCCCGGGGAATATTTATCAGAGAAGAAATTATCTTCACCATGATTAACCTATGTGCCCTTCTACCATCCGCAATTACGACAGGATGGCTGAATGAATCATTTGAACAGAGTGCTCCTTCAGGGGAATGTTGTCCTCACATTTGAGGAAATTGAGGGACATTCGTCCCCTCTTTCGAAAGTTCGTAGAAATCAATTGAAACTTTTGAAAAAATACTGTGGAACAGTTGATGATCAATTCAAGCACGCATGCGGTCGTCCATTAATTATCTGAAAATCTTTGGTAAAGTTAGTGATACTGTGGGTCACGACGCCACAGTTAGACTCAAAACCGTAAATCCACCTTTGACTTGCTCTGAAATTATCCCTTCTGGGCTTTTCACTATTAATTTTTAGCAAAATCCTGCAAGAATAACTATCGTGCAAGGATTCCTATATTTATTTCAAGCCTTGTGCTAGCAGCTTCTCCGCAAATCTCCATTGGTTGACTCCCTTCCTTTGACCCTAATAGTGACAACCCAATAACACATGCTGATTTGTCGAAATTAGGCTAATTTGAAGGCTCGAGATCTCCTCACTCACCCTCAATTTCCGTATACGATGTAGACGATACTTGGTCGTGATGAAGGGAAACTTTTTTTCAGTGTTTAAGGGATTCCGGTTTATTTTGGCACGAACCTTTATATCATCAAGGAAGTACTCGCGATGTTATGAGTTCGCCGCCATTGTTCATCAGGCAACCGCAAATGATTATGGTTCAGTCCCGATCGCCACTGTGACCTCTTGCCTACAGGACCATCCCAACAGCTGCATCACCGCTGCACGGCGAGTTATTCGTTCAGTGCGGTTATCCGTTCGATACATGGTATAG